CAGCTAGGTGCACACCCAGACTGCAGGCATTCCTTCTCTTTTCTTTCTCTGAAGGCATTCATCTTCAGACTTGAACTGCATCAGCAAGAATCTGGAAGCTCGGTTGGAGAAAGCCTTTATCGTCCTGTGCCACCTGACCTTACCTGAGCACCTGAACCGAAAGTTGCCCAAATCGGCTTCGAGGAGCCCAAAATAGGCTAGTAAAGGATTCTCTATTGTCGAAGCACACGTGGGCAAACGATATGCTTACGGCGCAAGAACCTAAAATCAAATTGGCATCAGCAGCAAGTCCTGTGACCCGACCTGACCTGATCTGAAATTTGAAACTGAGCTGACCTTGTATTTGTTTAAAAGCGCTGCTTGTTTTGGAGCGGTTTTCAGTGAGGCTTCTCGAAAGGTGTTATGGCAGAGGCGGATTATTATGAAGTTTTGTGTGTGACAAAGACCGCTGGACCAGATGAAATCAAGAAGGCATATCGGAAACTGGCTTTAAAATGGCACCCAGACAAGAATCCGGGCAATAAAGAAGAAGCAGAGCATCGTTTCAAGCTCATTAGCGAAGCATATGAAGTTCTATCTGACCCATCGAAAAGGCGAATATATGACCAATATGGCAAACAGGGATTAGTAAACGGTGTACCGCAACAGAATCAAGGCTTCGAGGGAGAATTTGATCCCTTCTCTATGTTCACACCATTCCGTTTTCATTTCCGCGACCCTATGGATATTTTCAGGGAAGTTTTTGGTGGTTCCGGCCTTGAAACTCTGCTTGGGCCAAGTTTATTTATGCCGATGGAACAAGTTCACGGCCCATCTAGACCTCATCGATCAACGTCACATCGCACGTCTGGCCGTCACGCAGGAGCTCCTTATCATCATAACGGACAATCGAGTCGATCAGCCCATGTCCCCCATTCTGAGGTTGCTATCCCATCAGCTCCTCCTGTCTTTGGTGGAATATTTGATGCATTCTTCGGTGGAGGTATGCTGGAGCCCTTCGGAATGTTCAGCGCCCCTGGCTTTAATTCGATGAGTAGTTCTTCCACGTCCGTCTTCGGTGGTTTCGGTGGTGGTGGAGGAAACGGGTTTCGTTCAGTATCCACTTCTTCTCGAACAGTCAACGGAAGAACTGTTCGTGTGACTAAAGTGGTGGAAAATGGTCAAGAGACAATCACTGAAGAAGTGGACGGCCAAGTGACTTCGCGAAGAACGCGTGCTCGCGGTGGCGGCACGTTGCAAGCTATGTGATATGACTTTTGGTCGTCCATTGATCTCACATCAGATAAGCATTCACAGCCTTCACGGAACCCGTTGTTCCGAATGTGTACAGTTTCCAGTTTATTCCCACCCAAATGCTCTGAAACAAACAAGCATTTGCGTTGTTCCTGGTGGTTCTCATTTACGCGCCGATGACCTATGATAAACAAAACGACTTGCTTGCCAAATTGACTCTGTCGATCCTCACATGTCAGCATTCAGTCGGTTAGTTTTGTTTACTAGAATGTAATCGCCACTTTTTGTTCTGGCTGAAGGTTTTTCGCGTGATCCAACAATGGGATGATGCTTAAATAACGTATTGAGGCTCAGTTTTTCGCAGTAACTTTTTGTTCATTAAATGTGGTGCGCGCAAATGAATTTCGTGTTCTACCAATTTGCCTACTGGGAACCTACTTGCACGTCGTGGTCATGCGCGGGTTCCTATGCCAAGAGACCTATTTAGACAGCTAGTGATTGTCAATTCACTTGACCCTCGGGATAGACAACGTACTGTGTTGATGTAGAAATTATGATGATTTCAGTCGCTTCTAAATCGATCCGCGTAATCACTAGCGTGCAACGAACTCAGTTTCACCGAACCCTTCTTGTCTCGAAGGTGAGTCGCTAAAGCTTCTTACTCCAATCGATTTGCCCCCATTGTTTCCAACTTAGTTGCTATTTTAAAACTTGATTCAGTAGACTCTTTCTAAAGAATTTTAGCCTCCATTATTTCTCGAATACCTGGGGCCAACGTCCAATCATTTAGCGGATCAGGTTTTATCCACTTCCTTAACTTCGAATCGAATGGTTGGCTAGTAGTAGGAGTGGTAATAAATACGTAGTGTTCGATTCGAATTTACTAACAATGTTTGACTGCAAACTCAGCTGGTCCCAAAGGCGAATGATTCTAGAATATAGTCTTGGTGTTTTTCCTCTGCATTCGGATTAACAGTGTAAGCAGGGTATTGGGCGAAATTCTAAACCTAGATTCTGAGGGCACGTTCTTTGTTGCTGATCCAATAAGTTTGTTTAGGACTGTACTGTTTCAGGTATCAGTTTGAGGAGGCTCGGTAATAATGTTTTGCCACGTCGGTATCAGTATCAGAATACGGAGAGGCTCAACAGGACGCGATGGTTTCTTTGTTACGTCAGAGAAGTAGAATAACTCACTCGGCGGAGCCACCTGTTATATAAGCACTACGATTGCCTACAAACTGACAAACGTGCGACGACGTATGAAGACAAACAACTAGAATGTGTTCGTAGCTTTTGTAGGCATATCACTTCTCGGTTGCTCTGATCTAGTAGGGGTCCCCACCCGAAGCCTTTGGCTAGGAAGCCAGACCTGTAAGACAGCGGGACGGAGCTCATAATCCACAGTCCATTGAGATCCGGTGTCCAGTTCGTCGGATCCTACATCCTTTGGACGGAGTCAAACGTCTCTTACACCTCGATACCAAATTGAGCCGGTGACTACCACGCCTCATTTTAGTTGGTTTGGAATTGGTTTTCAGCTAACTCCCCTAGGTGATCTGCCAATGGTTCACCGACTCGGTTATAATCCCGGATATCGACTTTTCATCCTCTCACTTTGGTGAACGCCTCTGCCCTGAGAAGGCAGTCAATCGGGCTTCCTCAACAGAGGTTACTTTAGACGCTTAATCGTGTAAGAGCATTTCGCGGTGTTAGGGACGGGTGACCAGGCACAGCCCGAGACACCCACCCCGACTACACGAGGCTTTCCGTATCACGGGTGCTTTGTAAATGAACCAAAGGTTATAATTTTTACGGTTGGGTTTTGTCATTATTCCTTTTTTGCACGTAGGTCACAAATCTTTGGTCGGTAATTTGTCCGAAGTGATGGCCTCGCAGACAGTGACAACTTTGGCAAACTCGAAAATTTCGTTGGCCGCCTCCACAGTCAATGATATTTTTCACTGGGTGACAGAGTTCTCAAGAAGAACGCTACTGGTTACTCATTTGGTGTATTCACCATGATAGGGGAATCAGAGACGTTCGTTTTAATTTACCTAAAAATGTTAGGGTCAACGGTGACGACTGCGTCATTTAGAAGATCGGTCTTCATTGATTAGAAAGTACGCTCCATGTGTTTCGGTAAGGTAAACGTAGAGGCACAAACCCCTGAACAAGTAATATCCGAAAACCAAGGAATATACCGAGATTAATTCACTAGCACTGTCACTGGTCAACTGAGACTTCAGTTAGTGCGACGCATATACGTTAGAGTATTTTGGACTCAGGATTTATGGCATTTTGATACCTCACAACGAGGTTAGCTTATTGGATTCATGAATCGACTCTGATTTTCATTCAGCTTAAGACGATAGCAGTCCACCGCTTTTCGAAAGCGCCACATTTTTGTCGTGTTCTGGCATCATCCACATAAAGCAAGTTAAGGAATCTAGTTGCTCTTCGCCTAAATAAAAAGTGCTAAATATACTAATTTGGTGTACTTTGTTGATTATCGTGCCGATTCATTTCGGCGGCTAATGATCTAAGCAAAACGATTGACACATCTGTACTGAACAACTATAGACTTTTGGTGATTGCTGTTATGAGAATTTGCCCGGGTTACGAAAATGATTGGATGAATTAAGCGCCTAAAGTGGTGTGTTATTGCGACCGTGGTTCGGCACTCGTTAGGTGAATACACTCGGAGCCTAGGTTCTGTAAGAGTTGCAGATGTCAGTCTGCACAACATAAAGGATTGCCTTAAAACCTACTGTGACCTTTTGTTGTAATGGTAATCGAGAAGCACGTCAGCACCCAAATTGGACAGAAATGATTGGTGGTTATTAGAATGAAGCTCGCCCTTGTGTTACACGCAAACAAAACAATGACCACGGGTCATACATGTCAAACATTTGAGGCCTATAGCAATTCGAATCTGAATGTTCAACTTCACAATCGGGGCGTTTGACTGAATCCGATAGAATGTGGTCTTCAAAAGGCAATTGGCATTTGCCAATTTGAGATATCCGTGGCGCCGTTGCGACATCCGGCTGTCTATGAAGGTGTAAGTTCTGTTTCACGGTATAGAAACGGCCATCTCGGGATCAGGATGGAGATAAACTGCTGATGTTTGAACGCCGCACTGCACGAATCTGGTGAAGAAACCACACAAGTAGTGCTCAAGTTAGGTGCAGAGTTTTCGGTGATTGCGATCGTCCTCTGTAAGAAGTGGTCGACCTCCACAGACTACGCTGGTTGGGATGTGTTGCGCGTATCACCAAATGGGTTGCAGAGGTGCGCGATGTTTTCCGGGACAGGTGTTGGGTGGAAAAAATAAAGGGCGGTCAAACTAAGACCTGGCATGAGGGTATGAAAACCCTAACCAGGACACTGGCTCACATAAGCGTCATCAGGCTTCCTGGATGGGAACCTCGGGATCGTCGTAACCGTGGTTAGAGACATTGATATGGTTGAGTGTCGTAAATAGTGGCGATCGTGCGTTCTCTTGATTTCTTTGCAACCCTAGTTCTTGTGAATTCTGTGTCATCTCTTTGACTCTGTTCTGAACATTCCGGACTCCCTATTTTGTCCAATTGGGCAATCATGAGACAATAACCGAAACCGGCGCACCAAAGTGCATGGTTAATGGTTGCGAAAACGGAACTGGATGTCTCTGTAGTGCCAGGCCTGTCTCAAGTTTGCAAACGCCAATCGAACATCATGTATTCATACCGACACTTCATATGGTGCTCATCAGGGAGATGTAGCTGCCCAACTAACTAAA